GTCATTGCGTCTGTCATTACCTCGCCTTTCATTGTTGTAGCTGAGTCGGACGGACTATCTTCACTCTTGGCGAGAGCATCGATTTGCACTCTGATCGTGTTCAAAAATTTAGTACGAGTCGTTGCATCGAGCTTGGAGATGGACGGTTTTCTGCGTCGTTTTGTTAGTCAAAGAGCGTAACTAGGGAAGGCTAATGGGGCTAGGACTATTCACAATGATTCGAACAGAGACGATATTTCGTCTAGTGGTAGGGAACCGTGGTGCCCAACGTCTGCTCCTGGTGCCGGGGAGGACTCTGCTGACTTGGTAGAGGCCAGTTGGATCAACAGGTCGGCGTTTTTGATAAACTTGACAAGGTCGCCCAGGCCTGTCTGAATATTTGTGGTGCGCATGCGACGAATGATTTCGACCGATTCGGAATCGGTGCGCATAGATAGTAGGTGGAAGAGTTCCTCAAATAGAGAGACGCGTTGTTGCAGTTCTTCGTGTTTGGATTTGAGGGCGGCGAAGCGTGTGACGTCGGGCCCAGCATCGTACTCGCACTTGGTGCGGCCCATGCCTGCACATAATGAGCAGACGGGACGTAAGCCGTCACATTTCGACTTCCTCCGACGGCATGATGTGCACGCGATCTTGGTCTGGGGACGACGTCTTGGGGCAGAAGAAGCACCAGCACCGCCGGTAACAGATTGCGGGGTCGACTCGCGCTCAGAAGAGGCGCCGCTGGCTACCGCTGGGCCTGCAGGCAGGAGCTCACGCTGTGGTTTCATGATTTGGGTAACCCCAGCCTCGGCCTTGGACCATGGGAAGACCTGGGCGCCTCCCAGGTTTGCCAAGGGATGGTGAGTGCCGCCAGCGTTCGCGTCTGTGTATGGTGGTGTCTGTTGGGCGTGTAGTTGACCGGGCGAGATCTGCAGTCTCACAGCAAGCAATTGGAATGGCGCCAGTGGACGAGTCGAGAGAGGTCAGAGCGGGCCACAACTGCAAGTCCAGAATGAGATCCGCTCGCCGTGTCGCTAAAGAACTCTCGAGGGCCTTGACGGTGCGCGTCATACTGCCGACCCGCCGGCCATGCTGATAGAAGGGGGGAAAGGGGGAAGAGAGAGGGTGTGTTCTGCGTGCGTCGTGTCGTCTGCTTCGATTTTTCCCTCTTCCCTTCTTGCTCGGCTGGGGTTGCGTCTTGGAAAACCCCGGTCAGGTCCGGGTTACCTTGGAGAGAGAGAGCCCTTCAGAAACGATCAGGTATGACGGAATGGCCTCTCAGAGGTAAGTAGGCAGGCAGGTGGCCCGTTTTCCGCACGCCTTGCTGACTACCTCATAATTTGGCAGAAAGAAGAGACAAAATCTCAGTCAGGTAAAGTGCTGCGTACAAAAGGTGGGTAGGGGAAGGTCTGCTGTTGGGCACCGCAGACCGGGCAGGACAGGATCGACACCTCAACTCCGTCGGTCGGCTAAGGCAAGGTAGGCTGGGCTGGGCTTGGCTCTGATTCTCCGTTGTGGATTGGACTGAGGAATGACGGAAGGCAGCGCCGCACCGATATATCGGCGTACTTGTTGATGACTTCCAGCAGCAGGCCTTCCGGGGAAGGCCAAAGTCAGCAGAGACACATGAGCATGACTTTTTTTCTTTCTTTTGAGGGGGAAAAAAGAGAAGGTTCACAATAACAAAAACCCATGCGCACAGAAAGTACGTCTGAAATCAAACAGGTTGATAGAGTTAGCCTGCAAAGTTGCCCAAACCCATGGACTCTTCTAGCCAGGGCCTGGCCAGGCGTGCAGCTGGGAAGAGCTGTGTAGCAACAGCAGCAACGGCTGCCCAGTCTGCCCACCCACCGTGGGAGGACAAGGGTGCCCAAGAGTGCCGCGGGTACTAAAAACCGCCGTGGCTATCGAGAGTTTGCTGGCGCATCGGGAACCGCAGCCGGCGGTTCCTGTCAGACCTCCAGGATAGGACGCTTCCGACCTCCTGTGGTCTTTGTTTGGTCCACTGAGGGAGTTGCTCCCAGGGCATTTTGGACTTGGGTGTGCCCAGCGTCGCTCGGCATGCTTTTTGGAGGAGAAGGAGAAAGAGAGAGAGGGGCGGTCGGGTCGCTGGGAGGTGAGGTGCACACCCATGGAAGGTCCCTTCCATCAGGTCGTTTCCACTTGCCTCGGGCCCATGGCTGAAGTGCAGAAATTCCGAAAGTCCAGTTCCCGATTTTTGACCAATCAAAAGCTCCACTCTCTATCGCATGGCAACCACAAGCCACGAGCCACGAGCCACGAGCCACGAGCCACTCATAAGACACTCCAAACTCGGAATAGTCGGGCAAACAACGGGAGGGCATGGATGGATGGAATAGGGAAGAAAACAAAAGAGCATCACCCCTTCGCCCTGTTTCCGTTGCCAGCCTCATCTCAGTGCTGCTGTAGCCTGCATCCGAGATAGGCCACTTTTGCAGCCATCGCACGGGCCGCTTGTCTGGCTAACTCGTTCGTAGGTAGCCATGTACTACTTATGTTACGTTGAGGTTCCGGTCGCACAACGCCGGCGGCTCTCGCGATATACCCCTGAATGATATCGCAGTCGCAGTCGCCGTGCTGGGGAAGCTGATGCTTTGGGCTCGGAGAGGACTCCCCGTGTTCGTCAACATCGTTGACCATCGTTGCCGTCTCATTTTTGGGAGAGTTTGAGCTCGTGGCATATGCCCTACCTGCGGGCCCGACCTTGGCCTTCTTCAGGGGCTGTCGAGTTGTCGAAGAGCTGGCCAGGGGTTTCACAGTATGGCACGCCGGCAGATGCGTTTGGACTTTGGAGAGACTCGCTCATCTCGTTGTTCCACGCCGTCCATCCCCGGCACGAGCAATCGTTTGTCGGAGACAGCAAGTCATCCTGTATTTGCAGACTGGGATAAAGGGCTGTGATATGTCGCGAGTCTCCGTCGTAGCTGCTGAGGCGATGTGGCTTGAATGTGCCGTGTCTCTCTACCTGCTCTTCCAGTCAGCCAATGTTCATGGAGGGTTAGGGTAGGTAAGAACTAACAAAAACCCCGGGTAGCGAAAAGGTGAGTTGATGGCGGCGGATGCAAGCCCCAAGTTAAGAGGAAGAGGCAGGTCGTGGTACTGGAGGAGCCAAAAATTGGAAATTGCGACGAGTGAACTGGGGACAAGGGAATATTTGACTGGACTATGAATGGATGGGAAAGCGGTTGTGAACGAGTGCCATGCATGTCGGGGGGGAAGTGCCACGTTTTGCTGGAAAGGTATCCCGTGCGTAGGGCGATAGGGAGACAAGCTTGGAGGAGCAGATACGTTGCGGGGGGGGAGGTGCCAAGTACTCACTGAGTAAGTTGAAGGAACGAACGAACGACGTTTTGGAAGGTGGAAAGAAACATAAAACACAACGCTGGAAAACAGAGGCAATCGCATGAGGCCAAAGACTGATCAGTCGAGAATCCCGACGGCATGGACAGAGAAAGAAAGAGAGAAAGGAAGAGGAAGAAGAAAGAGATTCAAAGCCCCAAGCAGAGAGACTGCGACCGAGTTCGTCAACGGCTGATGGTTGTTGTTGAGGGACAGGTAGGGATCTGGCCAGTGGCGGATGCTTGGGTTTCAGAATCCATTCCGGGCAAGCTGGAAGGTGTGATTGGCCACGGACATTCTTCCCGTCACTAGTTTGTCAAATCTCTCTCCAACTCTCGAAATCCGGTATCCTTGCTTGCACAGCGCAAAAAAAACACCCACAACTCCGACACCTGCTCTTGCCCTGTGTCTAGCCCGCCGGCCATTGGAACTGTGGACAATGAAACGCGAGCTGGCGGAATGATAAACGCGGCAGGGCGATGAGATCGATGGACGGTCGCTGGCGCTGTCCAAGTAGGTGGCAAGGGGAGATAGGTGCCTAAAACAAGTCGAGGCCATGTCAGTACGTGATGTGAGGTATTGGCGCGGGATCAGCAAGAAGGAAGACGCAGGCGCAGCAGCAGCCGCCGCCAGTGATGGATGGTGTTTTGCAGTCCGGAGTCGCTTCCGCATGGGCAAAGCGAATGATTGGCCACGGAATCCTCTCCGAAACGTCCCGACCTGCCCCTTTCATGGAACAGTCAGGGTTCCCCGGCATCGAGGACCAGGGCTTTCATCCATCTCTGGTTCGTCACTGACCCTCCACACCTCGCTTGCAGAAAGATCAGTACCACGGGAGGCACCAGTCTCCGTACCCTGACGCACGGTATCAATGTTGACATTCCATCGTCTGAATCGAGTACACGAGGCAGAAACAGGATTTGGCGACAAGCAAATGTCAATCCATGCCTGGATAGTCTCCCAAGCCTTCAACATCTCACGCTTATTGGACCCCCTAACACTCGGAGCCTTCGTTGCGGCCATGTGGCAGTTGTCTCATCATTCTTACTTACCGTGCGCACGATTAAGCACCATTCAAAGCGGAGGTCATCAGAACATCAGTTTGTCTTGGCGCTTCTCTCCGTCCATCGTTCTTCCGGCCTACTCTATAAGCTTCGACATTTTCCATTCAAGAGCTATTGGCTCCAATTTGTCTCCCTATGACAAGCATCCCGCACAACAAAGATCAGGTTGAGCAACACCTGGCTCACGTACTATCAAGGAGAGATCTCGGAGAAGTACACACACATCTCGCAAGAAGAAGCCCAACTGACCCTCCGAAAACATGCGCCGGCAGGTGGACCGCTGCGAGTACGTCGTAGTGTCTTGTTTCTTGCCGTTGGGTACCACCATCGGGCGAAGAAAACGCTGGAATGAGGGTAAAAAGGTTGAAAATAAGATAAAAAAAAAGGATGCGAGAGGATGCAAAAAGTAAGAGAGAAAGAGAGGAGACGAAGCATCACGCAACACCGCTGTGGAAACCCTCATCTTGACGCCGCGATACTAACTTGTCCAACGCCGGAAATCATCCAGCAGCTTACCAAAAAAAACTACCGTGTGTGAAAACGCTCGTCCAGCTGCCGCCTTGGAATGAGCCCGTCGCTGGCGGGGCGTTATTCTCAGATGCACTTGTGTGCCTGGGCACCCGTTGGTACGGCTTGTCCGCTGATGCCACTCGCGGTTCTGGCGATATATCCCTGGATAAGCTCGCAGTTACAGTCGCCGTGCTGTAGGATTTGGTTCTTGAGGGCTAGCACCTCCTCTTTAAGTGCTGCCACGTACGCGTCGAGGTACATCCGTTCTTGTGTGACTTCCTGCTCCTTGACCGCAAGTTCTTCTTCGTATAGTTTCGTCTTTTCCCGGCATCGCTTTGCTGCTGCCCGATTCTTGACGCGGTACTTTTTCATTCCCGGACGCCAGCTCTCACCCTGCTCGCCCACCTCATCTCCCTCGCCCTCATACTTGGTATCGTCGTCTGTCATTGTCACCTTGCCACGGTAAGAATTCGAGCTCGACGGAGATGGTTTGCCTACAGCCCCGATCTTTGCCCTCTTGTGACTTTGTTGGGCGGCCGACCACGTAGGGCGGGACCTCGTGTTGTTAGTTGCCTCTGTCGGTTTTGTCGATTTCTTGGCTCGAGAATGGGGTTCGGTTTGCGACTGCGCATCGGGAGAAGGCCAAGCCTCGCCGCTGTACGTGTTCATGGGCGGTTGTTGAAAAATTTGACATTGGAATGGGGGCCAGTTGTTCGCTTGGGAAGCCCACGTAGCCGTCGCCTGTTCCACACCCATTTCGAAGAATGAAGACTCCAGATGCTGAGCCCCGCCCTCCAAGTGCGGAGGATTTACAAAGTCGACAGAGTCGTTCTCGGCATACTTGGGTTCGACTGCGTGGTCGTCCCACCCGAGCCATTGCTGGCATTGGGGCTCCGCGCCTGGGGTGAGCGAGCAGTTCTGGCCTGGAGGTGTGGGATATAACGCCATGGGTATGAACATGGCGGTATCCGTAGCTTCAACCACACCTGGATAACAGGGGTGGTCTGGCGAGGCCATCGCGTCTCTATGCTCAGTGGTTAGCTGACTTGGAATTTTGAACTGAGCAAGACTCGTCGACGCTTGAGCTTACGGGTGATGGAGGGCCCTTTCAAGATCAGACCGCCTTGTGGTGTGATTGCAAAAGGCTCGCAAAATTCAAATTACTCGGTCAGGCAGCGGCCGTTGCTGAGCTCTTCGTCTGATACGCCAAATGCACGAGAGAAGTTGAAATTGGGATGTGGGATGGCTGGTGGATGGAAATGGAGACGGCAAGCAACGACAGCAGGCCACCGAAGATTGATGGATGCAACTCCGAACTTAATAAAGAGCAGACACATAGCTACTGCGTAGACTGCGGAGTACGTAGAAGGTGAGCCCTAGATTGGCCAGCGAGGCAAGGAGAAGGAACAAGGGTAAGTTGGATGGACCGCTTACTGGGTAGTAGGTACCTATCAAAGTAAATGTGGACAACCATCGCAGGGCGTCTGCCAGCTATGCTCTGCGGCCAAGGCGTGCTCATATCATAGGCATCCAAACATTTGGCCAATGCAGCTGACCGACCACGCTGAAGCGGGGTGGGATGGGACGGGATGGGATGGCATGGGCGAGAGCCGCCTGCCTGCCTGTTTCATTCAACGAGGCCAGTAGGACGCGGTGCAAGCTCCGATGGCTAAGCCATGGCACCCTTCAACCTCGTCCACCTCGTCTACCCTCGTCTACCTAAGGTAGTAGTAGTGTACGCAGTACTCCGCACTTTCAATACGTCTACTACTTTTTCACTCAGGTCTAAGCTCATGACCCGCAAGCGCTGTTAACCTCCTAACCTCTTATCTCGTCGTCTTTTCCACCTGTATTGCCCACCCTGTTCTTGCATGCTGCTGGTCCTATATAGCCCCTCACCCTGTATATTGTGTGTGGTCTTGTTCCCCTGTTCTCCAGCCCACTATCTCGTCTTCTTGCGAGAAATTGGAGCAGAACGAACCCCTGAATGTTTGTACTCAGCGTGCTCAGTATCGCACTTGGGCTCTTCAGCCCCGTAAGCGCATATGCGAGTGTCGGGTTGGTCGACGACTTGAATATCGCGTTCTGCTTAACGCAGTAACAGACTTTCAAGGGTCCAGATCGTATTGCAAGGTAAGCCAGGCAAGTTGTTTCCATCCACTCAATCCTGGCATGGCGAAGTGCTAGGTTATTGCCGTCAAGGATCAGCAATTGGCTAGCAGGTGCCGAGGGGCACCGGACTAGTCTCCGTGCGCATTCCTCCACTCAAGAGACGCACACATACAGGGACTGGCACAAACGCACACACACACACACACATGGACACATGGACACACGACGCACTGCATCCATCCTTGAATACAAACGATGCCCTGGACATCGCGTGATCGCACTTATTTGCATTTACCTTACCTAAAACCCCTATTAGTGTATAATTTATCACCCCTCTACGCTACTTTTACCTATTTATATGTATTAATACTAAAATATAATAAAGAATATAAGTTATTATATAGATTAGTTACTAACAGCTTTAAAAGATCTTTTTATAGAATTTATACCTTATCTTTATTATTATTTTCATAAAGTTAACTTCTTTTAAATATATATTTTAAAGTATTAAAAAACTAAAACTATTATTTAATATACTAATTTGAAACTTATAATACTATTATTATTTATTTTATTAGTATAGTTAGTAAATTAATATATATTATTATAAAATCTAAATATAAATTAGTTATTACTATTATTAATAAACCTCTTTTTATAATATAATACTTATAAGATTATATTTTACTTATTAATTATAAAATATTTGAAATATATTAATATTAGAAATCTTATTACTAAATCTATCTAGTAAAATAAAATATATATTAGTATAAATATAAGTATATTTAAAGGTATAATATATATACTTAAGTAGTATAAAGTTATATATAAAGTTAAGTTTATAGTTATAATATAGCCCTCTTATAAAAAGACTATAGTAAAATTCACTTTATATATAAATATAATTCTAGAAATACTATATAAGTATTTAAACTTATACTTTCTATTAATTAAGGAAAATAGTATAGAAACCTTATATATTCCTATTAATAAGTAAACTTTTATATAAAGTTAAATATATATTATAGCTAAATAAACTAGTAGAATAGTAATAGCGCTAGCTATATAGCATAAAGCTAGTAGTGCTATATATAGTAAAGCTAATTATATTAAAGCTAAATAGCTTATTAAAGCTTTTATAACTTAGTAATACTACTACATAAGAGATAACTTCTTAACTAAAGAGGTTATTAGAAGAGGTTTTTATAGCTAGAAATATAAAAACTTTATTATTATATATAGAGCTTTATATTTATTCTTCTTTTTTTATAACTTATAATAAATCTTTTATAATATTTATATTACATAAGAAACATAAAAATACTAACTTCATATTAAATACACCTTTTTTTGAGAAAATAGTAAAAATTAATACTATATAAATTAATATTTATATACTAACTAATAGAGAGAGTATTTATATTATTATTTTTATTATTATTATTTATTATATTATATATATAGTTATTATTATTATTAATTAGAAATTAAAAGAAATATAAATTCCTTTTTTTACTTTTATAACAATAATATAATGTTTATTAATATTATATAAAATAAGTTATTTTTATATAGTAGAAGTAATATCTAAAAAGTCTAACTTAAATTAGCTAAATAAATTAATACTTAGTTTAAATATATGATAAATATCTTTTAATATTATAATAATATTATTATTATTAAGATATATTATTAAATTATGTTTTATTATAAAAAAAAGAGTTTTTATTTCTCTTTATTTTATTATTTTATTTATTTTTATAAAATCTTTTAAAAAGTTATAATTATTAACTATATAAATAATAGCTATAATATTAATATAAAATTAACTATGTTTTTATTTTTATTATTATAAGCTTTTTTTATTATTATTTAATTATAAACTAATTAATTAAATAACTTAAAAAGGAATTATTAATATTATTATTTATATTATTAATAAGGCTTCTAGCTATTTATTATTATTTTTACTTAGTTAAAGTAATAAACCTCTTAACTTTATACTTCCTAATAATATATATAGCCTTTAGTTATATAATTATAATTTCTAACTATATTTCTCTCTTAACTTTAGCTATATATATATATTAGTTAATAACTTTACTATCTTTAACTTTACTTTAGTAATAATATAGCTTATAATTACTTAATTACTTAATTACTAACTATTAATATAAGTATAAGTATATTTAGAAGTATACTATATATACCTATATAGTATAAAGTTATAAATAGGCTAATATTATAATAAAAAGTAATAATCTTAAGTATTTATAGGAATTTAATTATATAGATAATAATAAGAGAAGAGATATATTATAATAATTCCTATTATTATAGTTAGTAAGTTATATCCTTTAATAAAAAAAGTAAAGAGAAAGATAACTTAAAATATAACTTATTAAACTACTAATTATATAAAGTATTTATATAACTATATATATTATATATTATTATAGTTATAAGTTATAATAAATAGAGTATTTTATATAAGGTTTTATATTTTAAACTTTATTAATTTATTTTATATAGAATATTAAAGTAAGTTAAGCCTTATTATTATTCTTATATTAATATTATTATTATAAAAGAATATTATATATTAATATTCCTCTTTAAAGTATATATAGCTAATTTATAGTATATAGCTTATTTACTTAATATATATATATATATATATATTATATATAAAAACTTAAAAACCCTATAAAAAAATAAGAAAAATATTCCTATAATATATATAATATATTTATAACTAGTTAAAAACTCTTTATAAAATAACTTTATAAATAAAAAAGTAAAAGAAAAACTAATAAGTTATTTCTTTAATATAGTTATTATTATTATTATTATTATTATTATTATTATTATTATTATTATTATTATTATTATTATTATTATTATTATTATTATTATTATTATTATTATTATTATTATTATTATTATTATTATTATTATTATTATTATTATTATTATTATTATTATTATTATTATTATTATTATTATTATTATTATTATTATTATTATTATTATTATTATTATTATTATTATTATTATTATTATTATTATTATTATTATTATTATTATTATTATTATTATTATTATTATTATTATTATTATTATTATTATTATTATTATTATTATTATTATTATTATTATTATTATTATTATTATTATTATTATTATTATTATTATTATTATTATTATTATTATTATTATTATTAATATATAATATTCTTTTATAATAATAATAATAATATAAGAATAATAATAACGCTTAACTTACTTTAATATTCTATATAAAATAAACTAATAAAGTTTAAAGTATAAAACCTTATATAAAAATACTTTATTTATTATAACTTATAACTATAATATTAATTATATAATATATATAGTTATATAATTATATTATATAATTAGTAGTTTATTAAGTTATATTCTAAGTTATTTTTCCCTTTAGTTTTCCTTATTTTAAGAAAAAACCTACTAATTATAATAATAAGAATTATTATAATATATTACTTCCCTTATTATTATCTATATAATTAAATACCTATAAATACTTAAGATTATTACTTTTTACTATAATATAAGCCTATTTATAACTTTATACTATATAGGTATATATACTACGCCTCTAAATATACTTATACTTATACTAATAGAAAGTAAGAAGACTAATCTAGCTTTTATAGTTAATATTAGTTAAATTCTATAGTATAAGGCTAGCAGCTTTTTAATCTTAATATATAATAAATATTAATTAACTATTAATAATAGCTTTAAATATAGGCTGCTAGCCTTATATTATGAAATTTAACTAGTATTAACTATAAAAGCTAGACTAATCCCCTCACCTTCTACTAATAACCTTTAGGTTATATAACTATAAGTAGTTT